GCCGCAGGTGGCCGAGGCGGTCACACTAGGGGCCATCCAGGCTCTGCTCTCCCAGCAGAGCGCGACTTTGATGGAGGCTCAAAGAACGACGCTGAACAAGGCACTGACGGACCTGGAAGCCAGACAGGACACCAAGATGGAGAAACTGGATACCAAGCAAAGCCAGGCTACCGAAGAGCTGGCTGCTCAGGTTCGCCTCCTGGGCGATCGGCTGCGGAAGCTCGAGGGCCAAGGCGGGCCAGGACTCGGCGAGGGCAAGAAGCACACACTCGTGTTCGGAGGGTGGGGGCGCCAGACCCGAAGACATGTGGTGCTCCACCAGCTCTCGGAGGTGGTGGAGAAACTCAAGCTTCGCCCGGTGTTGGACGAGCTCCCCTTCACAACAGGACCCCGAAGGTCCATTGCACTACCCAACTTCAAGCCTCGGCAAGGCGAAGGACCGAGCGAAGTTCGTAGCAGGATGATGGAGGTTCTCACGGCCGTCAATGGGGCCCAGGCTCAATTGGTGGGGGCAGAGAAGACTCTATGGTGTTCCTTTAGCCGGTCACCCGAAGAAAGGGGCAAGGCCTCCCTCACAGGGGTCGTAAAGAAAGTCGTCATGACGCACCGACTTGGCCTGAAAGAGGAGTTGGACTTGGAGTACGCCAACGGCATGTCCTGGCTGGGAGAGGCACAGCTGTCCGGGCTGGGAGAAGCACCGCATAGAGCAACAGTGGTCACTACGAAAGCTGGGCCAGGATGGGTCGATGTGAAAGGCCTGGCGGAGAAGGTCGGGATTGACACAGCAAGTGTAAGGGAGATGGTGGACAACCACCAATACTGAAGCGAGGACAATGGCAATGCCAAAGTCCGGGTGCTGAGCTGGAATGTTGGTGGGGTGGTTTTTGGTGACCTCCCCAAAGCTCTCGGCGAAGCAAGCGGCCAAGCACTTCGTGATGAGGACTTGGTCATCCTTCAAGAAATCCCTCGAAGGGAGGCAGGCTGGCAGAGTCAGACCTTCTCCCACCTCAAGGTGTCACATCGCGAAAAAGGTCAGTGGAGAGGGGTGGGACAAGTGCTGGACATGCTTCAGAGTGTGGAATTTGGATCCGGTTGAGACACATCAGCAATAGCCAGGAGTTGTGGGTGGGGAGCCTGTACATCAAACCGGATTGCAACCAGACCGAACACCAACGAAGAACCCAGGAGTTCCTCAATGCCCTCCCGGCCACCCACCTTCCCACGATTATAGGGGCAGACCTGAACACTCCATACGGCTGGGTGGACGGCGGTCCACAGGGGCTCCAGGCGGCCTCTAAGAGCGGGAAGGGGAACCAGTTCTTGATTGAGCTGGCCTCCAGAGGGATCGAACTTGTCGCTCCTAATCAGGCCCAAAAAGAACTGCCGACGAGCAGGCCGAGACAAAGCCAGAGACAAGGACGTACCATCGACTTCGTCGCATGTGCCAGAGTTACGACCGAGTGCTCTCAGATCTTCCAGGGTAGCCACGCGGTCATTGGTACTGATCATGAGCTTCTATCTACACGGATGCTTCTCCAAACTGGGCGATGCCGACGCAGAGTGTCCACCAAGCCCAGGGTCTTGATTAAGCCCGTTCCCCCCGTGACTTTCCTTGACCAGGAAGAGATCAAAAAGCTGGCGACCGAATGTACCAAGGTCGAGTCGAGGTGCGGCTATCGTGATCCTGCTGATGTTAAAACCCTTTTCGAGATGGCTAGGCGAGGGAGGTCTTCGGACGAGTGGAAGACGGCCTTCGCGGCAAGGAGGCGGGGAAAGCAGGCTTTCCGCGAAAAACAAATTCGCGA